TCCACGGCAAAAAGTTATTATTTCTGATTTCAGCGAGAAATTATTTCGGAAGTTTGTCGACATCTAAAAATAGCCAACAAATTGGTAAAAGTGCTTTATTTCAATGAATTCGTGAAAGCGATATCAAAATATTTGTTAGCTTACCGAACTGAAGCAGACAATACTTCAGCTACGGTTCATGACTGATGAATCACGAAATCCATGCTCATTAAGTGCAGTCGATGAATTGACTTGAAAGTTGACTGAATTTACATATTTTATTGTTCGACGTTGATAAACTGCTAAGTTTATTCAAGACAAATATATTCAACGCTATGAACATCGTTTATTTGCATTCGACATTATACGCACCTTCAAGCTATGGTTCAAACTGAAAACAACTGTGCGAAATCAAAAAGGCGATAATGCGAATGGATATCAGGGAGATTAAAAGGACATTATTTTTTATTAAAGGACAAAATTAAAACGACATTATTAAAAGGACAAAAAGATGGAATTTATTATTTCAACCACCATAATAATAATACAGAATCAAATCGTCTGTTTTGGGGAAATATTCAAAAATTTAGGAAAATATTCAAAATATTCAACAAAAAATATTCAAAAAAGTATTTCGTTTCAGCCAGCTACTCATAATTTAATAGCATTAATCAAATTGAGTGACGAAATGAACGAAAACAACGCAGTAAACGAACTATCTCTCACAGTCTACTTAATTTTGAGGCGAATATCCAAGAGAAGTGCATTAACGGCTGAATCTATGCACTTCCATGAATATTTAGATGAAGCATGACAGTCCAATGGAATTTCTGGCATATCTCTCGTAATTAATTCAACGATATTGACCCCGCCCCACCTGGAATAAATGACTACAAATATTATAACTGAATTAAGCCCATATTGTAGTCAAGCATTTCATCGAAAATGCACACCTCCAACGTAATCTCGGTTACCCTCTTCGTTCTCCTCAACTTGTGTAACACCGCTCAGGCAGGTTAGATACTTTGCGATGCTATCCTTTGACATTTTNTTTTGTTGCACATCTCACGGTAACTGCCAAATCTTTACAATACTCATTTCGATTCATCTCCACTATATCGTACAATCCACGAGTAAAATAGTAAAGTAATCTCGATTCATTGACATTCCCAACACTGAAATCAAACCGATATCAACAAATCAAATAATCAGTGAATAATTTTTAGACCTTCAAGAAGAGATCGAAGCTCGTAATGCAGAACTACGAAACCTATATAAAGCGAAAAATATTTCAGCTGCAATAAAATTCTATCATAAGAATGTAACCTTTATGATCACTGGAAGAGAGCCCTTGAAGGGACGACCGGGTATATTTGGATCGCTTTATATTTATTTATTTATTTCATTTTAAAATCCTGATTGTTCTCTTATTTGTTCAGTCGATTGAAAAACGTTGTTAACTTGCAGCGGTTAAGGAGTATTTCTCAAAGGATCAGGGTCATGGTGGCACTCCGGTTATACAGGTGGGTGGTTTGTTATTTATTTGCCGGATTTTGATAGAAATGTCAACCACTTTTACACTGGTGATAATTGCAGTATTACTTGCAATAACTTCAATAGTAATAGTAAGTATAATAGTAATAGGAATATTGACGATGACTACAACAGCAATACTAATCATAATCATCCTGTTTCAGTAAAAAAAAACAATAAAACATGGCAATATCATTTTTGGAGGATCGGACGTAGAAACTATCTTGATGAACCGTATGCACACTTCATTTGCAAATAACTGGCAAAGTCCGGAAAATGGCCAGAACACAGTGTACTGAAAATTTGTCTTTTTTTTAGCAAACTGACACACACATTTTTCCTTACAATTAGCAAGCTGTTCCTTAGCAAATTGCGCAGTCGATTTTTTTGATTAGACGCACACATGAGGTGTTGGTGAGAGATGCTGAAATAATGCCACAACGCTAGGTGGCGATATGCAGAATCTAATTCCAGGTGCAGATAGTATATATGTTTCTGGATATAAATAGCCTGTTATGTAGACAACGTGAGAATGAAAACTTATGTTCTTAATGCCCTAAGATTCATGCGTTCTGGCCGTTTTTCAGAGCTTTGCCGGCTTTTTGCCGAAAAACTGCACCAGCAAATCGAAACAGATGTTTCATCCAAGATTCACTGTACAAAACTCGGCCAGAAAATGATGCTCTTACTTATGAATTTTCACTTGTGCATACTGTAATCAACAGCGATAATATTTTAATTCAGCTCAATGTTCATGAGATAAATGGGGACGATAAATGGGCTTTTGAGCGTGGTTCATTCGATGTGACTTGGGCAGATGGCAAGAAGAAAGGCAATGGGATGTATCTGAAAGTGTGGAAGAAAAATGCAGATAATAAATGGGTGATATACGCTGACAGTACGAACTACATCAATTTACCGCAGAAGTCCGAGACGAAGTAATCGTGACAACAGAAATGCTTGTTGTGATAACAACATTTTCGCACCGTTTTTGCTGAATTTCATCGACTTCATTTCGGTCTTCTTTGCACATTAATGCACTCCTTATTTTGGATATTTTATTGTATCTCGTGATAACTCTTTAATAAATCAAAAACTGAGATTTTGCATCAGAAACGCAACGCAAATTGCAGTGTATTAACACATTACCACATTTACAAATAGTGACGAAGCAACTGAAGCTATCATTCATCCCTGATGTTTTTGCTGGCATGTTGTCGCAAGGTATTAATCCCTGAATGATGAAAGATAGACAATCGGAAAAGAACATTGCAAACGGTCACCTCATTGGTATCATGTGAATACGGTATTTGACTGGCGTGCACTCTATCGATCACGGGTGAAATGAGGCTAAACTAAATATTACCGAAAAACAACACCGTTATTGTCAGAAATACCGTGAAGGCGCTTTTTATGTCATCGTTAGTCATTTTCAGTGCAAAAAAAGCCCAAAGGACAAAAGTTAATTGACAAAATAAAATCAAAGCACCAATTTTGATCACTTGTTGATTGCTTTAGATCAGTGGTTCTCGCGTTCGGGTGCTCCATTAGCCCTTTCAGTGATCTGGCAGGTCGTCGTTACCCGCACCCTCCATGACATTACCGAAAACGGGTAATTTCACTCCTTATGAGAATCCCTATCCTGGACCGTTGTGTTGCCCAATATTGCAATCGATTATAATTGCATCAAAAGCTTTGTCTATGACACACTCACTTCAAACTGATTTAGAT